CTCCCCGCAGGAATGCCAGGATGGGGGTGCCGCAAAGCCGCTGGGCAGGGAAGGGAGCCAGGGGGGTGATGGCTCGCGGTGATGCCAGCTCGGCACGCAGGAATCTGCCCCCCACCCCAGCTGCAAGGGGGGGGCACAGGGGCACCATTGTCGCCTCTTACCTGGGGGGGAAGTGACTCAGGGCGGCTGCTGTGACTCAGAGCTGGGGGGGTGCTGCCCCCACACCCCGAACCCCACCGGGACCTGCAGCCCCGGGGGTGCCCCCAGGCTCCCCCGGTGGTCCCGGCCCGGCCGGACCCCGCCGTCCCCGCGGGTCCCGGGGGGCGGGAGCCCACCCAAGCCAAGCAGCTCCGGCACGCCGCTGCCTCCAGCCAAGATTCCCGGCACGGCAGCCCACCCGCAGCTCCGCTCCTGGGAGAGGAGGGGTGCGGGGCTTTCCAAAACAGGGGGGGCACCCAGGGGCGGCCCCCGCCCCGCTGTGATCCAGGGGGCCACGGGCCCGCGGCTGCCCGGGGCAGCGAGCCGGGATTCTGGAGGGGCCGGGGCCAGTTTGTGGCGCTGGTCCCAGTGGGCTGCGGGGACGGGAGCTGGGGCTGTGCTCGGCATGGTCAGAGAGCGGCACGAGGGGGAGGCCGGGACGGGAGGGAAGCAGGAATGTGAGGCCGTGCTCCGTCCTAATCCGCCTTGGCAAGCGTGGGGGGGCTGGATGGAGCGGGGGGAGCTCCCTGCCAGCGCTGGCTCCGCTGGGAGCGGGGGCTGTGGGAAGCTCCGGGCACCAGGACCCCAAACTGCGGCCCCCCCTGCGGTGGGAGTGGCGAGGATGGCAGAGAATCCCACCCGGACACCTCAGCACGGTCTGGAACAGGGGGGTCGTGCACCCCCCGAGGCCCCCAGCCCCAGAACCCCCTCCCCAGGGAGCAGCTGGGCAGCGAGGGGAGCTCCTCATCCATCTTCGCCAGGAGCCGGGAGGGGAGGAGCAGGCGGGGGGAGCCCGGCCCGCCCCCAGCTTGTCCCCAGTGCCGCTGTGTTTGTCATGGGGGTCCCTGGGCAGGAAATCCACCGGGACCCCTCTGGGAAGGAGCCGGGAGTGGGGGGACAGCTCCGGGAGGGATGGATGGACGGACGGACGGACGGGCGGATGGATGGATGGATGGATGGATGATGGATGGATGGACGGACGGAGGGATGGGTGGATGGATGGACAGACGGCCCCACATCCGTCCCCCTCCTCCTGCCGAGCAGCCGCAGCCCCGCAGGACCCCGGCGGATTCGGGCCAAGGCAGGGGGAGCTCAGCCAGCTCCAGCAATCCGCAACAGCCCGGCCGGGGGGAGGGAAAGCCGGGAACGCAGCCAGGAGAGCGCTCTCCTCAGCAGCCAGCTGGAATCAGGAAGACCCCCGAGCCCCGGGCAGAGCCCCAGTTCCCAGAGGGCTGCAGATGTGGGTGCTGCCTCCCCTCTGGCTGAAGATTTTGGGAGGGTGGGTGTCCTCAGCTTTCCTGGAACGGATCTCCCGTGCCTCAGTTTCCCCAGGTCACCCGGGGACCTCCAAACCCACCTGGGCCGGGCCGAGCGGCTCCGGCAGCCAAAAGCGGCTCCGGGTGGGAGCGGCCGGACGCGGACGGCCCGAGGAGCTCCGTAATCTCGGCTGATAAGAGCCCCGCTCCCAGCCGCGCTCACCTGGCCCGGGAGGAGCGAGCAAACAAACCTTTGCATGGCACAGCTCCGCGGGGCGCGCTCGGCTCGGCGGGGGCGGAACCGGGGGGCTCCGGCATCGCCCCGGCCCCGCCGCGCCCACCCGGGACTTCGGGGATGCCGGCGCTGCCCCGGAGCATCCCAGCAGCCAGGGCAGCAGCCAGCCCCCCAAAAAAGCACGGGACCCCC